CTCTGGGGTCAAACAAATCAACCTTGAAAGTTAATGACTGAACAAAATGTTTTTATATTTATGTGACTGAGTCATCATGCTTTGTACTTTAATTGGTATTTTGACATTTATTTGTCGGATCTTTATGATTTATCTATCAGCTGATCTTTAAATGTTAAATGAAAAAAAAACATCAAAATTATCTGAACTGAACCCGCACGAAATGAACAAAAAGTTTTTGAGAACTTTTCAAAATATGAATCGTATTTTAGTTTTGTATTTCTTTAAATCATCAAAAATATGCTTTGTTTTTGAATTACCAAGTTCACAAACAAAACCAGTATTTCTTTTATATTACTTCTCAAAAATATTTTTATACAGTATCGACTAACAATGATTTTAAATTTGAATACTAATATAAAATTCTCCATCTTTATTGAAACTAATTTTTATCGTTACTGATGATCTATTTACATCTCCAGTTTGAACCGCATGGAGATAAATCCATAAAGGTTTTAGATAAAAAATCCGCAACTATGATAAATCTGCTGCACAGTGTACACTGTTCTTTAGCGCTGAAATCATGTTTTCAACCAGTTCAACCCTAAATCATAATTATATAAAGGTTGGCGGCATTCAATACTGAAACAAGTTAAGCACTCATTCATGTAAAATCTTCATTTTACTCAAACTACAGAGCGTCCAATATCATATTAAATTATCTTCAATTTATCGCTAAAATACACACATAAGACTCGAAAAACCTAGTATTTTCTTCATGCAAATCTTTTTATTTGCAATATACAATTTTTTTCTAATGTTTCGTTCTTTTCAGATTTTCTTATTAGTCCCGGAAATCGCAATTTAAAACCATACCACTAACCAATATGATGTTGGACACCCTGTAGGTGCAGATTTTACATTTTGGGGGCTTATTTCATCTTTAATTTGCGATTTTTACAGATCAAAAAAAATACAATAATGATTTACTCTTATAAAGAATCATGTTTCATTGACTTGTTGTCATAATTTGGCGCGCGCGCGCATGTATAAGATTTATCTATGATTAAGAAAATATAATCAATGGTTCCGCTCTCGATTTTCAAACATAATGATTGGAATACAGTAGGCAGCATGCAGGACAAATTTTATCTATTTAAAAAAAATTTAATAAAAAAAATTTGGGAAACTTATAAAGATCAAACTTTAAACATCCCAATTTTTTTGGTTAACATTGTGCGGCCTTGTAAAAAACTAGATTGTTTTACACAAATAATTTTTCCAAATTTTGTTTTTTGTAATGAATGAAGACAGTGTATAAAGGTAGACCGTTGTACGGAGTATTAATGATAAATCAAAACAGAAGCCAGCTGCAGGAGCTCCCTGGGTTCAAAGATCCGTGAAAACCAACAATTCTTAGAATTCATTATTAACACTGCACAGAACAAATTAAACAATAATAAACTAAAATAACCAACCACCCCCCCCCACACCGCCCCCACTCCGGTACATAATGTTCTTTGCAGTACGTATTTCTACAATTGCTAAACCATGTACATTGTACAGAGTACAAATAAAATATACAATTTATAAGTTTTACCCCCAACTCTCCTCAATAATCTGTAAAGTATTTTAGGGAGCAAAAACTCGGTTTATAAAGAGTTTAACTAAATGGGGTCTCATGCAGTTAAGCATATTACGATAATGGATACTGTTTGCAAATAGGTTCTTTCTTAAACAATGGCTTGGGCTCAGACCTTAATATCGGCAGAAAAGTAAAATGGGGAAATTTCTAGTTTGATATCAATTACGAAGGGATTAAAAGACAGTGGACGTAAGAAACGTAAAAAATAAGGACTTGAGATTTAAAGAAAAAAATATTGTTAAATATATAATAAAACAAGACATTCATATATATGTTCTCTATAGCCGGCCAAACGGCGGCTGGACCGAATGGGCTGATTTTTTGTAGACACTCATGGATAGCATGGGGTGACTCAGGCTAAAAAAATCAAAATTATTTTTCTTCAAACTTTTTTTCAATTTATTTTTACGGGCAACATAGGGCCCTTCAGTTTGTAATATATAAAACAAACAGTATGACTCTTTATTTGGTATAAAGAAAACTATGAATTAAAATATATAAATAAAAGACAAGTTTAAGATATTTATTACAATAAATGTGCCTAGTGCTGAACAGAGTATATATCAAAGTAATGTTTATTTATGAACAAAAAATATTTATTATTTTTGCCCAAAGTATTTTAAAAGTAGAAGGAGGGATAATTTTTATATTTTATTTTGGTCCATAAATCATTAATCTTATTCTAAAAGGTACCCTTTAAACCCTTTAAACCCTTTAACCCCTCTTCTGTTCAAGAATCAAGGATATATCCTTGTTTTTCTAACTAAAAAATTGATTATTTCCGGTTAAGTGAGTTTACGGATTCATAAAGCAGAGAAACAGAATAAAATGACAAAGTTTAAAATTTTCTTCGTCATTGTTGCTCGGATATAGGTTTAAAGGGTTGGTAACGTTGTGAATCGGACATACCACAGTGGAATCACTAGAAATTACGTGTACAGTCTCTTTAAGTTTAAATAATAAGTTGAGAGGGGTTGTATATATCTTTTTAATATAAATTATATTTGGACAAAATATAATTTTTCAAATTACAATCTTTGTATTTGGATTAAAAAGTAATTTCTATGTTGAATGATTAATGTAGTTTATTACATTAATTCACATGAAAATACCTGATGATCAAATATTGACGGAGCTGGGGAGGTGATTTCATGCTCCAATTTTTCCAGGTGTATATTGAAAATAGATATGGCAAATTAAAAATCCTAATAAAAAGGGGAGTGAATTGTAAAGGTTTAAATTGTTTTTGATCTTTGGTTTGGTATCTAATTAACAGAAGTTTTAGACTCCCGGCCATTTCCAAATAAGATCTGCTGTATTTTTACATTTTTGAAAAAATCTCAAAACTTTAAGCAGAGTCAAACTCTTTACTTTTTACTAACATATGTTACCCTCTGTTCCAACCCTTCGGTTCATTATCCTCCCTTTCCCTATATTCCTCGCCACCTTCTAACCTTTTCCTGTTTTATCATCATTATTATGTTTAAAATGTTTAAATGTACGCTGTGCATTGTGCAGTGTAAACCCATTTATTTACAATTCTCATTCGTTTATAATGGGCCAACCAATTAAAACAACCGACTCTGGTTAGACGGGTCAAAAATACATTGTAAATTGTGATTTTTTTATTTTTATTTAGAAGAGTCAAAATATTGAACAAAATAATCACACAACCTCTAACACGAACACAAAATAATACTTTGGCACAATTAAATATTCTAACAAAATATTTATCCAATATTTTTTGCATATTTGTAAATAGAATAACATAGAATAACTATAAAATTTATTCTTATACTATTATACTATTATATACTGATATATTATTTTCTTGCAGAAAGTGGTTTAAAAAATTAAGAAAATTGTACAGGTGGGGGATTGGGGGGTTGGGAGGAAGAGGAAAAAGTGGGCTTTTTAACTTTTTAAAGATATATTCAAAGTAAAGTTATATATTTAGATATTTCGAATATAAAGAACCAATATAAGATAAAAATGGAAGAAAATTTGAAATTGGTTTAAAATGAAGACATTACAAGGAATGGTTGAACCCGTTGATCTGGTTTTATAAAGAGATCAAGGGGTTAAACAGCTACATGGTTCAAGGGTCAAGGGGGTCACGAATAAGAAAAAGTCACGTGGGAGGTCGGAATAAATATTCACGCAACCTCTATCAAAATTCCTACCAGTAGAATGCATCCAAATACAGGGTTAACAACAAAGGATGAGACTTCAGAGACGACTGTAGAGAATAAATACTGTCTGTTTCTTTATATTCATGATTCCACGCAACCGAGATTTGTTTTTTCTTTTCCTAATCATTGAATAAACCATAAAACGATCATATTCAAGACGTAAAACTTAATTCAACCTTGCAATTGTCAGATTTTAAGAGTTTCAGGTCGTCTTTATTGTGTCATCCCTTGTGGATAACCCTGTATATAAAGTAGTAATCTCTGTTTGTTTGTGTGCACATCCAATTATACCCTCTTGACTGAGGAACTTGGTAGAACCAGGGGAATGTTCTTAGCTTGGTTTAAAATATCAAAGATGAGTGGATTGAAAGTTTGGTTTCCAGACAAAGCTGGGTTTCCAAGCTTACTTGAAATATTTCCATTTT